ATGTCTTAATTAAATTTTTCCAGAGCCCAAATAGGAAGAAACGTAGAAAAGGATTAGGTTTCTCCCTAGACCAAGACTTTCTCCTATATGACCTAAAATAAAACCCCAAATGCAAATAACACGGAGAATTGGATCGATGGAACCAATTGTATGGGACAAGGTTCCCGAAGAAATCATATACGAAATCTTGCTAAGGTTACCCGTCAAATCTCTACTTGGGTGCACGGCAGTGTGCAAGTCATGGAGTTGTATGATCAAAAGCCCTACCTTCATCCACACCCATCTGATCAACCGATTAATCGAATCCAACCGTCGAAACAACGACGGCGTTCAACTCCTCCTCACAATCCTGAATTTGAGCTTTACTCATTGTACAGGGATGACGACGACCCACGTGCATCATCATCTACGCTTAGGGAGTATACCCATCTTGACAATCCATACGAAGTTTACCGCACCAGAAACCATATCCGGGGATCCGAGTTTTTCGGAACTTGTAACGGGCTCGTGTGCCTTGCTGCGGAAGACATTGAATTGACCACATTAGTTTGGAACCCTAGCATCAGAAAGTTTGTGATTTTGCCCAAGTCTGGTGTTACCTTTTGTCATGGATATGGTCGAGAAGCAAGATGCGCCTTTGGCTACGACAGGCGTGCCAATGACTACAAGGTCTTACGAAGAGTGTCTTGTTTTCAAGAAGGCAAATTTATCTCATGTCCATATGAGATTTGGTCGTTAGCCAAGGGCTCTTGGAAGACTCTCAATACTGGTAATGATCGTCATCATCATGAACGTGACATTGAACAACGGGACTTTGATGCTGGTCATCCTCCTGCTTTTGTCAATGGTGCTCTGCATTGGGTTCAAGTCAACGTGAACACCCAGAATATTTCCATTGGGTCGTTTGATATGTCCGATGAAGTATTCGGCAAGATAACCACACCACCAGAAGCTGGAACACAAAAATGTTTCGGTTCTGATCCACATTGCGTGGTGTCGAGGTACAGAGAGTCCCTTGCATTTTTCGAAAGCTCTGAGGAGAGGAGAGAAAGTGTTGGTTGTGGTTGGCTTCTTCACATGACCATGTGGGTGATGAAAGAGTATGGTGTGGCCAAATCATGGGATAAACTATTTGCAATATGCCTGGAAGGGAGTATTTGTAGACTGGTTGGTTGTAGAAAAAGTGGTGATGAAGTTGTGCTCAAACTGATTGTTGATAACGTTCAATATCGGTCTGTGAACTCTAAGACCAAACAAGTTAAGAATTTGCAAATTAAAGGATCGTGCTGTTACTCGGTCATGGATGCTTTTACTGAAAGCCTTGTCTTGCTTGACCAGCCTAATGTATTTACATA